AAAAAAAAAAAAAGAGAAAATTTGTTTTTTTTTCTTTTTCTTCTCCAACTATTTTTCATCCTAACCACGTTGTAACCTAACCAAAAATAATTCCAAATTAAAACTTTGTCATAAGAACACTTTTAAAAAACGGGACAAATTATTGTTATTCCTCTGTTTAGCATAACTTTTGAGACATTTTTGTTGGCAGAAATATAACAATTAGAAAAGAGAAAAATTAAAAATCTGTCTGAAACAATTTTTGATGCAATTTTTCTAAAAAAAAATCTTTTTTATACTGTTTACCAACAATAAACATGCAAAAGAGATCTGTAGAGTTGTGCAAAAGTTGCCTTATCTAAAAAAAAGAGGTTTTTCATTTAATTTGCAGTTATTGTCAAAATTTGTTACTGTTTTAATGAAGAGAGTACATTTGGCCTGTCTTGTAGAGTTTTGTAATTTTAAAATAGTCGAAAAAGGTGCAAATAATTTCTATGTTGTCAAGCACTAATCTCATCAAAAAGGAAAAACAATGACAAAGCTCAAGTTGGTCATGAAAATAATGGATAGGTGCAATCCTTGGCGGTTTGATAATAGAACTGCAATCAACGAAGTTCCGGTTTGTAGACGCTGTTTTCTCTCCTTTTCCCCTTCTTTTTCTTCTTCTTCTTCTTCTTCTTCTTCAACATATCTTTTTTTATTATTATTTTTTTTCTTCTTTCAATCAATACAAACAATTTTTTACTCCTAAATTGTTGCTGCTAAAAGTTTTACTTGTCAATAACATAAAGAAGGTTATATTTGAAGATCATCGGCCACAACTAACTACTCTCTTTTCCTGTCATCATACACTTTACATTTATGCAGAGCGCCTTTTAAACTGGGTTGACAACATAAATTTTTATACAAAAAGTTAATTATCTTAATTATCTTGAATACATATTCTTATGCCTGTTAGTTTTCCATTATTACAAAGCACTGTTACATGTTAAAAAAAAAAAAGTGAAAAGAAGTAAAAATAATTCAAAAGTCGAAGTATAGTTGTTTAGCAAACATTATAATATCCTTTTCATTGCTAAGTGTAAAGA